CCACCCCCCCCCAGCCACTCGGGACCGGCCAGGCTCGCAGAGCAACACCACTATGGACCTGGGGCGCCTGGCGACACGGCTCCTCGGCCGCGGCACGATCTGGGGCGGTGGCTGGTGGAGAGGGCCAGCCCCGCGGGGTGGGGGGAGGGCTCCCGCTGCCCCGCGCTGTTTCTCTGCCGTCGGGCGGGCAGTCCCGGAGGGCGCGTACGAGCGAGTGTTCAGGGCCGCCTTGGAGGAGCCCGAGAAGTTGTGGAGAGAAGCTGCCGGGCAGATCCAGTGGTACAAGCCCTGGGTCAAAACCGTGGAGAGGAGCAACCCGCTGGTTGCCTCCTGGTGAGCAACTCCCCCGCCTCTAGGGGCGCCTTCGGAGCTGCAGCTGGAGGCGCCAGAGGCCGGCGGGCGCGCAGACCTGGGGGGGGGAGCCCAGTGACCTCCCCAAGCTTACCGTGGGGGCCTGGAGGGAAGAGAACGTCCCAAGTGGGGTCCTGGTGTGTGTGTGGAGAGCAGTCAGTGTCCCCCAAATCTCTAATGGGGGTCAGATAAGTGTGTGGGGAGAAGAGCTACTGCCTCTAGAGCAGTGGTTCCTAAACTTTTCTGCATCATGCCCCCTTGATTTTTGAGAAACCCTCATGCCTCCCCCCCAAAAAGCAGCAAAAGTTGGGGTGGGATTGATGAGGGTGTGGCTGGGTCGTCTCGTGCCCCCCCTGGAATTTCTTCACCGCCCCCCAGTTTGAGAACCCATGCTCTAGAGTCTAGACTATATGGGGGGGGGGGGTGGGGGGGAGAAGTGGTAAGTATCCTTAGCCTGTGAGGAGGGCCCAGGGTGAGTTTGTGCATGTGGTAGTCTGGATATGGATGTAATAGTGTAGTTGATTAATTGATAAGCAAAAGCGTTAGGTTAATGCTCTAGACTACATGCATTTCCTCCCCCCCCCCCATATTTGTCAGTAAATTTTTTTAGCAGGCTGGCTCTGTTCTGGCTCATGCTGGGTCCAGAACCTACCCCTGCTGCAACTCTGCATTTAAAGTCTTTTAGGAGCCAGGAAGTCAGGCAGCCCAGCTCAATGCTGGTTTGGGGAACTCAGACTCCTTCCCCCCTCCCCCCTTAGACAGGGGCTGCTGCAACCCAACCCCGCACTGCAGTCTCTTTATCAGAGGCAACAGCACTAGGTGACAGGCAGTCAGTCAACAAGTGAAGCTGGTTTCTAAACTAGCTCAGCTTGTGGACCAGCTCCTGTCTGGCACCTTGTGCTGCTGATACAGTGGCTGCTGGCCCCCCCCCCCCGGGACTGTAGAATAGTTGACTAACTGATAAGAATTCATGAGGTTACTTGACTATTCAGTTAACCAATATCTAACATCCCTAGGTGGGGAGGAGAAGAGAATACTCCTAATGTTTAACAGGAATCAGGTGTGTTAGAGGGGGAACATACATCCTCCAGTCTCAGTCTTTAACTGAGGTCATTGGTGCACATCTGTGTGTTTCCTTCCCTGATCTTCACCACCCCCCCCTGCCATAACAAATGTCTGTTTTGACTAGAAAACATGCCAAATCTCTGTGGCTATGTCTACACTGGCTCCTTTTCCGGAAGGGGCATGTTAATTTCAGAAGCCTACTGGTATAGATCAGGAATAATGATTTCTGACTGGTGCAAAACTGATATAAGCAAAGGGAGACTCGGTGGCTACATCTACACTGGCCCCTTTTCCGGAAGGGACATGTAAATTTCACGAGTCGTCGTAGGGAAATCCGCGGGGGATTTAAATATCCCCCGCGGCATTTAAATAAAAATGTCCGCCGCTTTTTTCCGGCTTTTAAAAAAGCCGGAAAAGAGCGTCTACACTGGCCCCGATCCTCCGGAAAAAGCGCACTTTTCCGGAGGATCTTATTCCTACTTCGAAGTAAGATCCTCCGGAATAAGATCCTCCGGAGTAAGATCCTTCGAAGAATAAGATCCTCCGGAAAAGGGCGCTTTTTCCGGAGGATCGGGGCCAGTGTAGACGCTCTTTTCCGGCTTTTTTAAAAGCCGGAAAAAAGCGGCGGACATTTTTATTTAAATGCCACGGGGGATATTTAAATCCCCCGCGGATTTCCCTATTACGGTTTCTGAAATTAACATGCCCCTTCCGGAAAAGGGGCCAGTGTAGACGTAGCCTGTGTGTTTTGTTGGCTCTTTCTGTAGCATGGTAGCAAAATTAGACCACAATTTAAAGATTACTGTACTGTTTATGCCAAGGGTGTATATAACAAGAGATTACAGGTAAAACATTACATCATTCACAGAGAGAATGCATGCCACTTACACTAAATAAAAATTAAATTACAAGCCATTTTTAGATATTTTAAAATCCTGTTACTTTTATTATGACCATTTCTAAAAGAGAATAAATTCATCTGTTACATTGATATGCACTCCGTGGAAAAACTTGTACTCTGGAAAGAAGACATTTCATTCTGTTGAATCTTGATTCAAATGAAATTTTTTGACCTTCAAAATGTTTTATATGTAGGCAATAGTACAATGCACCACCCTAATGGATATTAGTTAAAACAACTTACAAGATAATTTGTTACATTTTATACATTTCCAAATATGACTTCACCATTGAACACCTTTATATTAGGGAGCCAAGATAACATCAGAACAAGAATTTCCATTGCTTTCCCCTAGAAAAACTGTGTACAATATACATAAAAAAACAAACAATCCTGAAACAGTGTCCCAGCTGTGTGTTTAGTCAATCTATGCCTTATGTCTTTTTTATGTTCATAAGTGAGCTCAATTAAAGTCTTTGTTTAGACTTTAATTTAAAAATTGTGGTAGTCAAGCATGTGATCTTTCAGAGTTTTCAATTTCCACTAGTTCAGCTGATATACAATATTTTGTCATGAAAATGTAAGCATTATTTGTTCTGCATCTCTCCACTGCAATAAAATAACTGAGGAGAATAAACAGAATTTACAAGGGATAAATGCTTTAAAATAAGGAGGCCTGGATAACTTACAGCTTAGTTCTAAAATAGATATGAGGCTTTCTAATGTTAATTTTGAATAAATCTTGGAATGCAGTATCTGGGAAGTTCCATAAGATAGAATACTAATACCATGCCAATATTCAAAAATAGCAAGTAGAATGTCCTTACTAATTATAGGAAAGTTAGCCCAACCTTATCTATGGGCAAAATAATGGAAGCTGGTATTGGATTCAATCAATAGAGAGCTAAAGGATAGGAATATAATTAATGTCAGCAAGGTTTTATTGCAAATAGACTTAGTCAAACAAACCTGATCTCATTCCTTTATGAGAGGATAAGTTTGACTGAGAAAGGTAAGTGCACAGATGTAGTATATTTGGACTTCATAAGGCATTTTAACTTGATGCCACAAGTCAAACACAAGTTATTGGGCTCAGCCTGAAGATAACTTGGTGAAATTCTATGGCCAGAGTTTTATGGAGATTAGACAAAATGATATAATGTCCCTTCTCTTTCCATATGCTCCACAATTGTTAATTTTTATCCAAGTTTATATGTTCATGTTTATCTGAAACAGAGTGAATGTGTCTATATATTGTGTGTGACTATAGCACCTAAGAGCTCCAATCATGGCCCAGGAATCCGTTGAATTAGGTACTATACAAACACACAAGGCTATCTGCCCCAAAGTGCCTACAATCTAAGTTTGAGAGAAGAGACAGCAGATGTGGACTGAGCTGTCAATTGATGGATCTCATCTTCTATGATGCTGTAGGTGAGCGACTAAACCAGTCCTTGATTGGCAAATCCTATTGCAGGTATCACTACACATTTGTGGGTGCAGTGCACTCTTTTCAAATCCTATGCTTTTCTTGTAATGTTGAAATACGATGAGCCACTTGAATCATACGAGAGCTTGTGCAATAGTTTGCTGCTGTAGTAATCTTTCTTGAGCTGTCATTTCCAGATAACTGTGAGATATACCTCATGACTTCATGTTGGCCTATAAGGTATCTTTATAACTCTTATGCTGACTGCCAATAGAGCATTTTCCACAAAGAATCTGGCCGCAGATGATGATCTTCACTATCCGTGTATCATCCCTCCTCATAACATGACCAATCTTGCGAAACTGTTTGTTAATAAGCATTGCTTCCATGCTCATGATTCCATACAGTTTAAGGACCTTCAGCAGATGAATACTGATGGGGGCTGCAGAGCCTGAGGCGATGCATGAGGTTATTAGGACTGGGAAAGGCAGCAGCTCCACACCCTCTTGACAATGATGAGTAGCTATTTCAGACAGCAGTTTGCCCCTGAGGAAAGGGGCTAGAGGATGACTGGTCATGGAGGCAAGGTGGATACAGGGGAATTGGGGGTTCTCAGGGTGGGGAGGATCCCAAAGTGCAGAGACAAGGACTGCTGATACCCCTTCCCAGAAGGGGGACGAGAGACAATTATAGTGGGCACTGCTAGAGAGAAGTGTTCTGAAGAGGTCTCTGTGATCTGGGAGCGGTCTGGAATGGAGAGCATGGAGTGAGGACGTGGGGAGACACCAGCCAGAGGGAGGTGCCCTGTGGTCAGATAAAAGCTAATTCCTGTGCTAATGGCAGGAGGCACCATGGTGGTGAGTCATGCCCTGAGACATAGGGGTAAGCACTGAAAGATTTTTCAAAATGTAGACCAGTCGCTTCTATTTTAGCCAATAGAGAAGGAGGGGCCAGAGGAGGGCTGCAAAGAGAAGAATAATATGATCAAAGCAGTGGGTCTGTGCAGCAGTATTTTAGATGGATATGAATATGGCAAGACTGTATGCATCAAGGCAAACAAAAGATGTTGCAGTAAATGAGATGTAATATGGCAGGAATTCTACCTTGGTAGATGGATGTTACACAGTATGAATTTGGCAAAATTTAGACATCACCTGAATGCAAGGGCCTAGAGAAAGAGATGTCAGGTGCTTTGGTTATGGGTCTGTGTGTCAGATCTGGTAAGCTGGTGGGGTTGTCCACTAGGACCAAGATAGTCACTCTCCCAAAGCCTTTTCTTCTATCTACTAAGAATTCTGTTTTAGCCATATTAGCTGTTATCACAAGCAGAGACTCTGAGGAAATATCAGGGAGACCAGATGAGATTTTAGTATGTCTAAAAGATAAATCTGGAATAGAGATGCAGAACTGAGAGTTGTCAGCATAGCTGAATGTGCCTGGATAAGCATACCCAGAGAAGCTGTGGAGCAGGGCTACTCAACTTTGAAAGCTCTGGGGACTACAATGATACTCTCAGCACATGCCGAGGGCCATAACTTAAGTGTGGTTGCATATACATGCAAATGTATATGCAAATAGTTTTTCACA